CCCCCCCCCCCCTCCCTGGATCGTATCTTGTTGGGTTGTTTGTACTGTTTTCTGTTCTTAATGTACTCGTTCAGTTGTATAAATGCTGCAAAGTTTTAGTAAAAAAAAAAAAGGTTTTTGCCCTTCAAGCTCCAGGTTTAATCAAGACCCGTTTGGCAATCTCATGTTTCTTTAAGAATGCTCCTAATGTACTTCTTTGTCTCAGAGTCAGCGAAAGTCGAAGGCTTTGATGGATCTCAACTGTCTTTGTTGCAGAAAACGAACGACACGGATGCTGACATGTCTTTTCGACCCGCAAGGAACCATAAAGGGTTTTCTCGTTTGATAAAAAAGATGGAGATTCTCTTTCAGGTGCATCTTGTCCTCTTCCTTCCTCTTGACTCTTACCTGGTTTGCTTGTCTGCTTTTGTCAATGTCACACATGATTCTGATTCCCGAGAATTTGTCTTGTTTGCATTATTGACAAAAATAAATTCAAAATCATACAGCTTGGCAGCAGATCATAGCTTCAGAATGTTAGGTTAGTAGTGAGTTAAAGGCATCTTGGATTTGAACAAGTCCTGAAACCCTGAAGCCAAGCCAATGACTCTGTCACATTTTTTTTTCCTAGATGAGTGAAGTGACCCTTTTTTTTTTTGTAAAGGGTATTCACTGATTCACGCATAAGGCTCAAAACCATGATCATCTGTGGATTGGACACGAGTTCTGTTCTGTTTCAGTTGGGAAAATGAGTTCCGTTTTCTATTGTTAGGTGGCATGTTCAAATCTTCCGAGAGTGTGGTAATGTAAACCAAATCCTAAACGTTGAATACGCAACTTGATGTAGCATCTTTTGATGTTACATTTGTGGATTCCCATTTTCGTCCCTTTGCTCTCTCTTTTACTCTTTTCAATGCCTAAAGAGCTTCATAGATTGAGACCCTTCTTTATGTCCACATTCAAGTTCAAGACTTTATGTCGGGATCATCTTTTTTTAATGTGATGAAAGTCATCGAACTGTATCTGTAATAAAACCCAACTGAACCAAATCCAAATCAAGGGTTTTAATATTAAATAAACCAAAACCATTGGAATATTTAATCTGGTTTCGTTTTGGATCGGATCTTGCATAAACTGCCACTTACCCTCCATCATGTCATTTTCCACATAGTTGAGGATTATTATTTGCAAGTGTCCCTTTTACTTTCTTCAGGTTCACTAATATAACCTGAGTTTCCTGCCTTGTTATTCATTATAACATGTCCACAGAGAGAGAGAGAGGGAGGGAGAGAGAGAGAGATCTGTCTAAATGTTGTTATCATTATTATACACTGTTGTAGTACTGATCTCTCACGTCACGTACCAGTCTCTCTGTCGGTTTTAAGCCTAAGACAGGAAGCCGAACTGAATGTTCAGGCAAATCCCTATTTGGTTTGAACTAAAGACTGCCACTTCCATCACTACCAATAGGCAAACTAATCAGACAACTCTGTCCATATACTTGTAATTAAGGTACAATAACAAACAACCTTTAGAAAGAAGGATATAATAACGAGAACGAATCACCTGTTCATGAAAAAAAATAGCCTTCAGTCTCACAAAACTCCTGAAGACAACTCAGTGTTTTCGGCCTTCCTCCACATTTCGGGATCTGCCCAAACACTTCAAGTAATGATATTATGATAGCTTCTTCTTCCCTGTCACCTCCCCATCAGATCCAGAAAACCTGTGTCTCTCTATCCTCTACAGCTTGCAGTTCTAATGCTCCGAAACTTTCAGCATGAGGAAAAATTTTCAGGGGCAAGAGCTTTGTAGAAGAAAAGATTTCTAACCATTCTGGTCCTTCTGTGTTCTGAGATAAAGCTATACAGTGAACTCACTTCTTGGATGCAGACCTTGCCATTGAAATCACCCGAGGAATATTCTGGTTGCTAGAGCTCTGCCAAATCAAGGAAGAGAAGAAAAAAAGAAGTAAGAATTCCAAGTGCAGATGATACCAAGAGGATAAACGCAGAAATGCGTGGAGAAGAAGTGCAAGCATTAACTAAAAACTTTCAGTGGTTCAAAACCAAATCTCTAGCTTAGATATCCAACTTGTCATCCTGACTTAGTTAATTCTTCTTTGCCTTCATTGAGCTATGCGATGGTTACCAAAACAAGTTTTTTTTTTTTACTATATTAGCTTCAGTTGAAATCAAATATGGGAGAAATTGGCAGCTTAAGCTGTAACAAATTTATGTTATGTGCAGTCTGACCATATGGAACTCTTGGGTTGGGTAGATCCCTAAGCTTGTTCGTTCAATCCAGAGATGATCATGAGAAGACACTCAATTAAAAGCCAATAAATTGAGGTAAGACTGGGAAGCTGGTTTCTGCAGAGGCTTACTTGCGTGTTATGGTGATACATTCTCTGTCAAGGAGCCCAACAGGGAGCATTCTATGAGCATCAATGCTGCCTGAAACAACTGGAACATGAGAAAGTTTGTGCTTGTCCATGATTTTCTGGGCGGAAAGAAGATCCATATCAGGTGTAACAGTCCACCGTACATTACATTTTCCTCCGTTCAACGAACATATTTCATACACTGAAATTTCCTATAACAAGGAAATGCACAAGATTATCAGTTTATCACACGTGAGACATGTCTATTTCATCAGTTGAGGGATGAAAAATTATTCAAAGTCATACCTCGGGTCCTTTGTTTCCTTCTTCTCTAGCTTTGCCGAAGTCCTGAATGTCAGAGAGAGTAAGTAAACCAAGTAAGATATTCTCAGAATCAACGATTAATGCACAAGATTGCTTCTCTATCAGCATGAGAGTTACTGCTTCTTTCAGTGAAGCACCCATCATAACTGTTACATATCTCGTCCTCATGGCTTCTGAAACAAAAATATTCTTTTCCAGCTCCTCACTTTGAAAGAGAGAATCCTCAATGCACAGAGAGCTTTCAACTTCACAGAGGTTACTCATTGATGATTCCTCATCGGAAGACGCTTGAGATTGCATAGCCACCTGGCTGTTTCTTGTCCTGATATTCTTCTCATCTCTGGTTTCTTGTCTCTTTGATCGTCCAGATGTAATCCATGAAGACATGCCCACAGCTCCTAGTAATGGGAAGACTATACGGTAGTCCTGGGTCAGTTCAAAAAGCAGTAGCACTGATGTAAGAGGAACTTGACAAACCCCTGCAAGAGTAGCGGCCATTCCAACCTGTACAACAGGGTGAAGAAGAACATCGATACTGAGCTGCAAAAGTATAGCGGGAATTCTTGGCGGAAGAACAGAAAACAAAACATAGTACATACAGGTTTTCTATTGTCTAAGATAAAACTTTTGTTTGGTAAAGTATCAATAGCCCATGAAACCAAGAAATATTTGTAATGTGCAGTTGTAACCACGAGAACAGTACCAGACCATATGCTTGCGGGGATGCCACTTCCAAGATGGAAAGATGGAATTCTGGGTTCGTCTGAGCCAAAGCAAGTCCGATGAACTTTCCATATGCCATTCCTGTTGCGGCACCTATAAAAAGAGAAGGGGCATAGTATCCACCCACCAGTCCGGAAGCACGACACAAGGCAGTAGCACCTATCTTGACAGCCACCAGCTGAAGCAAGAGGTCAGCTGAAAGACCCTTCACAAACGGACGAGATTCCAACAAAATATCAACATTCTCAAAACCCCAGTAAAGGACTTCAGGGTATGCCAAAGCTATGACACCGACGGTGAACCCGCCCATCACTGGAAATACAGCCTTTGGTATTCCAGCATCCTTGTTAAGATTGTCGACAGCAGCTGTCAAGGATGATGTACATCTAGATAAGGCCAACGAAACCAAGCCACAGAGAGCGCCCAATAGAAGATACAGCGGAAGCTCTGAAAATAAGAGGGAGGATCTCAAAAGCTTGGTTTTTGTATTATCTTTAAGATGAACGCATAAGAATGGCATTCATATATTACCACCAGGTGAGCGGAAGTCATACTCAGGAACCTTAAAGGCCGGTTGGGAACCCAGACCAACTTCTGACACCACAGAAGCAGTAACAGCGCTAAGAATAACCATTGAAGTTGTGTTTGTAAGCGACATTGATGGATCTGTAGGAGAAGGCCAAAGAACAGACTCTACAGCAAAGAAACATCCAGCAACCGCTGCATTGAACCCTGCAAAACACAGACTTGAAACAATAATTAAAAATGAAGACTAACGAGAGCACCAAAAAGATCGAACTTAGTCGTAGCTGAAGCAGAGAAGCATCCATAATGGTGGATCAATGGGTCATCCTATTTTACTCAGAACAAAACCGTTCTCCAACCAAAAGAATCTGGTTTGATACAGAGGACAATGAGCTTCAACAGTTCGTGTTGTATCCAGTCGTCTTGAAAGAATTCAAGTAAGAGATCAGTTTAGATTCAAACACAGGCAAAAAAGAACCATATAAACACACCCGAGGAAATTCCAGACGCGGAGCCTGCGGCAACAAGAGAGAGACCAGATTGAGGACTTCTTTTGAGCAGAGAATTCACTCCTTTAGCGATTGATGATCCAATCTCGACACTAGGACCTTCGGGCCCCAGAGAATTGCCAGTTCCGAGCGTCACACAAGCCGCGACCGTCTTCAAGAATGGCCGTAACACCGCCTTCAAGCGATCTAGATTCGAAGCATCGGCTCCAGAATCCCCAATCGAAGCTCGAAACTGGTTTAGGACACTGACCATCAAAGCACCGAATGTCGGTACAAGGATAACCCGCGGCCATATGGATCCGATTGGTTCCTCTCTCAGCCAGGAAGCGCCACGGTCGGGGATACCGTCCCAGAAGAAGTCGCGGATGATGTGGACACAGTTGTTGAAGAGCACCACTCCGATTCCGGTGAGAACACCAACCAAGCACGCCGAAGCCACCGCAATCCCCTCCGGCGGCGGTTTATCAGATCCAACATCTTCCTGATCATCTTCCCTCGCCGCCGGTGACCTCCGAAGGCGGAGGAAACCGGGGTGGGGCGGGAGAATCTTCAAAGGAGGAAAATTCGAGGCCAACAATGGAAGAGGAGCATTGCAGACGAACGGAGAGCTAGGGATTGGGATCGGAGAGAAGGAAGAGAATCTCCGGCGAGAGGCGGGAAAGCGGAGGGGACAGAGAGCAGCTGCCATGAACGGCTGCTTGTGAAAGCTGACGTGTGTTTTATCCATATAAACGGATAATTGGCCCTTTTAAAATTTTTATTTAATTTTTATTTTTTATATAATCCAAGTAACGTAATGGACTTCAGGCCTGGAATCTAATGGGCCTATGGGCCATGCATTCTTTATTTTTGAGCCTCCAATTTTAGGCCCAAATCTTACTTTTTCAATAATTCACTTAAATTAAAAAAAAAAGAAAACCATATCTGTCTGTGATCTTCTGCGACCGCCACAAAATTTTATCGCCCGGCGTTTTCTTCTTCTCTCGTCTTTTCCCTCCTGCTTACCATTTCTCTGTGACAGGTCTCTACTTCCAACGGAGATTTTTGTTTGATATTTTTTTTTTTGTTTCAATCGGATTTTTTTGTTCATCTTTTGCTGAATGATCTCTGTGAATTTTAGGGTTTTAGTGATTCCGATGGCTTCCAATTCAGAGAAGAATCCTTCTCCTTCAGGTAACGTTTATTCATCCGTTTGTATGGTTAACGAATCTCCGTTGTGGATTTATTGATCTGCTGGTGGTGCTGATTTGATTTCTAAAAATATTGACCGTCTGATTTATTTTTGGGTCGTTGTTTATCTCGATTTCTGTTCTACTTAGATTTGGTGGCTTTTTTGTCTGTCTTTAGAGTTCAGATAATTGAATAAATTTGCTTTCGCAGATGAGAAAACGGATTCGAAGGAGGTGAAGAATTCAACGGCCTCTGGGAGTTCACCCAACTTTCTCAATGCTTTTGATTTCTCAAATATGGCCAATCTTCTCAACGTAAGTGCTCCTTTTTTTGTGTAGGGTTTTTGTCCATAGTAGAATATAGATTTGTCAGATACCAAATTCGAATTCTTTTTATTTTTCCATGGGGCTTTGGTGCTTATGGGTTTGGTGGATTTAGGATCCTAGCATCAAGGAATTGGCTGAGCAGATAGCTCAGGACCCTTCTTTCAACCAGTTGGCAGAGCAGCTGCAGAAATCCTTTCAGACCGCACCATCAGAAGATAGCATCCCTCAGATTGATCCGCAGCAGTATTATGCGACAATGACTCAGGTTATGCAGAATCCTGGCTTCAAGAATATGGCAGAGCGTCTTGGCAATGCCTTGCTGCAGGTAATACTCGTGTTTCGCCTTTTCTTTTTTTTTGTGCTGCTGTTTTGCAAATGTTGCGTGGATAAGGCATGCTATGCGATTTTCGTTTTGTTCTTTTGTCTCAGGAACCGTCGATGTCTCATTTGGTTGAGAATTTTTCAAACCCCGAAACAGCAGAGCAGTTTGCAGAGCGGATGGCGCGTATGAAAGAAGATCCTTCCTTGAAACCTATACTAGATGAGATAGAGGCTGGGGGTCCTTCTGCTATGATGAAGTGGGTGATAAAATATGTGTACAATACTAACGATTCTCGTAAGCTGATTTCTTTGCTTATGGTGGAATAAATTTTGTATGTCATTAGGTACTGGAATGATAAAGATGTTCTGAAGAAGCTTGGTGAAGCAATGGGTATGGCTGTTCCTCCTGTAGACCAGCCTGCTGCAGCTGAATCTGAAGGTGCTGAAGAAGGGGAAGAGGAAGAGTCTATTGTTCATCAGACTGCTAGCCTTGGTGATGTCGAGGTGAACTGTGAATAACCTCCCCTGGTTCTTGACTATACTAATCTTATGTATGAGATAACCCCGAATGGTTGCTCGTGGTAATCAGAAATGTTGCTGAAGAAATTAGATTGATAGAAGAAAAATGCTTTCCAATTTCACTTTATGTTTTTTAATAATTCTGGACTCTTGATGCATTGGCTTCCTGAACTAGGGTTTGAAAAATGCCCTGGCATCTGGTGCTGACAAAGATGAGGAGGATTCAGAGGGAAGGACAGCATTGCATTTTGCTTGTGGATATGGCGAGGTATGTGAATGTCTTATGGAAGCAGAGAAATAAAAAGTATTTGTAGCTTTCAGATCTTGCAGAATGATGGATTTGCCCCATTTTAATTCTGTAGATTAAATTGATAATACCAATTTAGCAATCTATTCTTCTGACACCATTGAGCTGGATCCAGATGAAATGTGCTCAAGTTCTTCTTGATGCGGGAGCAAATGTCAACGCTGTTGACAAAAACAAGAACACACCTCTACACTACGCCGCTGGTTACGGCAGGGAAGAG